GTGCATTTATAGAGGTGATTTTATTAAATGTTCTATGTACTTGGGACCAAGCTTGACCGTGCATTTAGAGAGAGAAATATAGTAAGTTCATTTAGAGAGGGTGCATTTAGGGAGGTTTCTCTGTATATATAAATAGTTATTTTCATTCATTTATTTCATTCGTGTTAATAACATGTGAAAAGGCGCGATAGTTAATTATAAATCTTTGTTATAGAAATGAAATTTGGAACAATAAAGCATTTGGATCTGAGTTTGCTAATTCATTGAATGAAGATACTTACGTTTTGAACGTGATTCTACCTGCCATCCGAGCAACATTGCAAGATCTTCCTTTCGGTAAATCTACATTTATCAGCAGTTTCGAAAAGTGATTCCAGTGCTGATCAGAGGGGGATAGATGAAGTGGTCGAAGACCATATGTTATGTTTGTCGTGAAACACAGAGAGAGAAATTACGAGCTTTTATACATTGAATGTTCACGCCTAATTTGCACGAAACAAAAATAACAAGATGATGAAATAAAGCTTTGGCGAGAGGCTAACGATGGGATGTATTACGTACGTAAGAGATGTAAGCCCGACAAAGATGAATTTGATATTGTGGGGGTTCAGGTTGCTGGTCAAACAATGCGGTCAAATGTTTTCATAAGAGATAATGCAGATATTCACAGATACTATCATCTCCTTGAAGCCAAGGTGCCCATACAACCGTCAGATTCTGTCATCGTAGCAAAATTTGTTGAACTTCTATTAGTATTACGTAATATTTTGATTGTAAACATGAGTCTACTATATAATGCTCCTTTATCTAGATCAGCTCGATTATTAGAAAAGAGCTCAACAGTCACATCTCCACGAAGTTAGCCTGTAATTCAGTCATACAATACAAGCGACTAGTTACACGAGCATTTCAAAATTAATTTGTGCACTATGGATTATGAAAAAAATACATGTTTAAATTACCCATTAGCCTGATCTAAAGCTCTACAATTTCAGTTAAGAGTTTAGTATTTATTTCTCTTAATGAATCAACGGAGTGAGTGTTATTATTTTTTTACAAATTATGCGATATATTAAAAATAAAATCACGTGTTTTTCCTCACGGCCCGTAAGCGAAATTTACTAAGAAAATTTTTATTAGCCGAAGCCTTGCTCACGCTAATACATGTAAAAATAAATACAAAGGTTCGGGACTTAGCCCGGAATATATATTGCTGGAAGCAACACGGTAGCTACTTTTTAACGATTTTTTTGATTCGAACCCTCTTACTGGCTGGGGACTTATCGACTGTTACCCGATCCTTCAACAACCCAACAAAAATTTTTCGCACTGATCCGTAAAACATCGAGGTTTTCTTTGATTGCGGTCTTGAAAGATTTATCTGATGCTCGCTATTACTTGTAGCATATATTCCATCGGGAGTATATATGATGAAATGCCACTCCACGGCTGAAAATAAACTCGATAATTAGAAATTTACGTGATTAAAAATTCATTTCCATAATAGAGAAATCTAAATACCTG